TCACCAACGTGCTATGTCTCACGTCAAACCCAACAGTACGAGCATAAGCAGTGTAGAAGTTCACCGCTTCATGTAATTTCCGGAATCTTTGTCCTTTATATGGTTTAATCGATTCGTCACATTGTGGTATCCAATGTTTCGTTCCACCCGGTGTGATTAAAAGTTGATGATCTGTAACCGGCGGTTGCATTCCTTAAGTGCCATTGCAAGAGGGAAAAAAAACGGAAAAAGGCATATTATTAGTAATAACTAAGCACATCGATTGCACCGGTGAGAATATACGATTGCACTCAATAGAATCTATTGTTGCACTTTGTTGCAGTAAAGATAAAATTGACCCCAGTACCTGGTTGAGATACATTTAATTCCATTGTTTATGCTGCTCAGCAAAGAAATCGTATGATATCCCTAAATCGCATGAAAAAATCAAAGTATACCCGATCAACTATCCACTTATTACCTATGAATATTACATATTTTGACATTTCAATAATTAAATCGAGAACACTTTATTTCGTATAACAATTGACCAAAATCGAAAGTTCAATTGGAATATATACCTGAGGCCGTCGATTATGTAATATGATGGATCAATCGAAAGTTTCAAACTCACGTACGGGTAATTTGTACGGAATTCTCGTTGGATATGGCAGAACGGGGCTAGAAATAGTGAATATCAATCGCAAAAGCGAGCATAATTTTTCCCCATTGATTTCGTGTTAATCGATCTCGAGAAATACACAGCTGCGAGATTTGAGGTCCGAGATTTAGGGCATGTATGAACGTAGCTAAGGGTTTCCACCTGCAGGACTTCAATGAATGCTCGGTCTGTGCGGGTATTAGCTCAAAGGAAATTGGTTGATAAGTAATTTACGATAGTACCCTCCAATGTTGTCTGTGTGTGAATTCCAGCGAATTATGTATGTCCGTCAGATTGAATTGATCCAATGTTCATTATTTATTCTCATTTCCTTCACTAGCAACCATTCTCATGGGAACCCATCCCTATATATATATATATATATATATAATTTAACACATGTAAGTCTCACAAGTATTAAATTTTCAGCTACTTTTTCTCATTAACTATAAATTTAAAAATAAATTTTAACAAGCACCCGTGTAATACACGGACGTTGTACTAGTGAATTATTAAAAAGGTATAAAATGGCTTTGTGTTGTAATATTTTTCATAAATAACATGCCAATAATATATAGCATCATATAAACCCCAAGCAATAGGTACACATTGAGAAGAAACAAAAATAATCAAGTAGATGAATGAGAGAGGTTATAACATACTTGTAAATTGTAATGATATTATAAATAGCAAAAATCTATGAGATGTAGTCATGCTTCACAATATTTTGGATTTATATAATTAAGGTCCGCATTGTCATTTTGAATACTGCTAAGTCGAGGATATACCTGACTTGGCAGCTAAAATACTCCGACCGCCTGAAAAACAAAATGATGACTTAACAAGGACGAAAAGGATTCTCGACGTGAGCACTCCGATGCTCAAGTTAGTCTTTCGGAAATGGTGAACCGTGATTAATAATTAGAACGTCCAAAGAGGTAGAAGAAGAAGAAAACTCCTTAACTATACCTTACCCTCTTATAGGATGAATACCTTGTTATCTAAGAACTCTTGCTGCACAAGATTAATTCATATATGTCGGGCAAAAAAGTTTTTTAGTCGCTCGTTTTCACTTTTGGTCCCAGTAAACGTCCATTTTTGGAAATGGTCTTCTAAGTGAAAAAACAAAAAAAAAAAAATAAAAAAAAAATTGATCCTCTAACCCCCTATAGTAGCAATTAGGTGACAGCAACGCGCTTACGTGTAAATTTGCATTTATTTATTTTTTTCTTTTTTGTTGAGGTGGCAGCTTAGATAGTAAAAAATAAAAAATTGGCCTAAATAAGGATCGAACCCTGCACCGCTTGCGAAAGATGAGATCCATTACTTGGTTGATCTACAAGCCTATATGCTAAAAATCTTGAATTCAAGTATATATCTATCTACAGTTTAACATCAGTTTATAAAATATATATATATAAATAATAATAATAATAATAATAATAATAACAACTCAATTTATACCACTTTTAATTACAAAATTTATACATAATTTATTTATTAAACATGTAATAATTAGGAAATTAAAATCTTTAAAATAAATAAATAGATAAATAATATAATATAATTTAATATATTTATTTAATATATTTTTTTAATAAATATAATTATTTATATATACAGAATAATAATAATATTCAACATTATTTTATCAAAATAATAATAATTATTAAACTTATTATTATTATAATGATAATAATAATAACTCAATTTTTACCACTTTTAATTATAAAACTTATACATATTTTATTTATACTAATTTAATTACCTTATTTTATTAAACTTTTATTATCATTTATGTGGTTCTCTTTTACTGATTTAAACTTATACGTAATTTATAGGGTCGGGTGGCTCCAATTGAGGAGAAATTGGTTCAACATCGGCTGAGGTGGTTCGGACATGTCCAACGGAGGCCTCCTGATGCACCGGTGCGTAGGGGAGTTCTACAGCGGGCCGATGTTGTTAAGAGAGGTAGAGGTCGGCCTAAACTCACTTGGGAAGAGTCGGTTCAGAGAGACCTTAAAAATTGGAATATCTCCAAGGATTTAGCGGCGGATAGGAGCGTTTGGAGGCTAGCGATCAACGTGCCGGAACCGTGACTTTTGCTCCTTTCTCTTTTGCTCCAATCTCCTTTTTTTTTTTTTTACCACTGTTTCTATTGGGTTTCATTTCTAGTCTACCCCAACTTGTTTGGGACTAAAAGACTTTGTTGTTACTGTTGTAAATAATAAAATATTATATATATTAATATATAATATACTAATTAAAAAAATATATTAAATAATACATTGAATATATATATTAAAAAGTATATTAAGTTTATTTATTTAATTTGCTGATTTTTATTTCATAACTAATTCAGAGTTACATATAAATTAGATATGATTTTTTATTATTAAAAGTGCTAAAAATTAGTAAATTTAACTAAATAAATAAATAATTAATATTAATCAAATGTTGCATAACCCTGCAGTTACGTCAATTTTGCACAATCTATTAACTGAAATGCCAACATAATTGATCATGTTTCATTAATATAGCACACTAGTTCTTTGAGTAGACCAAAATAATAGATGTTTTATCGAACATTCACATATTTATCCTAACTACAATGCTCGGCACTTTGATCAACTCGTAGCTAGAGTACCCATTTAACTTCTCTATTTTTCACTTATGTGTTGAGAGGGAATAATACACTATATATAGAGAATATCGGTGTTTTAAAAGTCGTTAGGCGCTCGACCAGCGCTTAGTCGGGGCCTATAAATCAATATTAAATACCTTATTTTTTATTTATTTTAACTACCTAAAAAATAAATTATCCCAATTATAATAAATCGACACACCTAAATCCAAATAATAAAATTAATATATCTGAAAGAAAACGTGAGAACAAAATAATGTAATTAATATTTAAAATATAAAAAATAAAATTGAAAATTTCTGCTGATCCCGCCTAGGAGCACGTAGGTTTATGCCCGCCTAGGCGCCGCCTAACCGTCTGCCCGCCAAGTCCGCCTAGGAGCACCTAGGGCCTTGGCGCCGCCTAGCCGTCTGCCAATTTGTACAAATCGAAGACGTCCGGGCACCGCCTAAGCCGATTTTCGGAACAATGGACAATACAACTAATAACTTCTCATGCTAGTAGGCAATGAATTTTAGAATTACTCGAGTTTTACTAGTTTTGGAAAACTCTAGGAGTCATCAAAGGAAGAAAGATTATTAAAGAAAAATGGGGTAGAGTAACATGTTTAAGTGGGACCTATTCCCATCTCACACTTGCACCAACACAAATAAGAATCAAGAAATGTGCACAAATGATTTGATTCTCTGCAATTTTCCTTTCAAGTGTGCTGCTGAGAGCTGACTGACTGACCCCTTGCAAGCCAAAATATTGGTGAACTAAACCACCCATCACTATCACAATGATCATTAAAGCAATGATTAGTCACACTCATTTATAGTGAACCATAATAGTCAAAGATTGTGACCACTTTTAACTTATATCCACACACATTTCATTTAAATTTTTTCCGGCATTGTTGCTATGAAGTCAACAGTTAGTTCTATACTGAAGCCAACATTCTATACACAATTGGAGAATATGGTACGGTTTACTTGTTGTATATAGAAAATTGACTCCACGTATAATGAAACTAACTGTTGCTTTCGTAGCAAAACCGTTTATTCCGATTAGAATGGCAAAACTACAAAATCCAAACTGTTTTTAAAGTACACAAAAGTGGGATCAGCAGCCTATTTGCGCATGCAAAGTGCACAAGGCTTAAAGACCCTACCTTCTTTTAACCATTTCCCGTATGAAAGATTTGGCATCCAAAACGCCTTTTCTTTGTCACTTTATTACATATATTGGTTGCCAAATTGGTCTCACGTGGTCTAATTTAGTGGTTTAGTTTATTGCCCATAGGCTATGAATTGTTTTCTTTATAATCCTTCCTTCCTCAATTTGTCCTAGCAAACGCAATTCATTCCCTTTCCAAAGAGAATCTATTAATTACTTTTTAAAAAAAAAAATCGAGCATTTATGCGAAGATGAGTAGCGAGAGCGAAGAGAGTGTGTTTTGGAATGATAAAACGTACGGATACGAAGGAACTTTTCCATCCGAATTCGAGCATAGTTACAGAAACACTCGGTGGTTTGAGGCCGCAAATCAGAGCGCAATCAATCAATATGAATCTGGGACGAAAAGGACTCGATTTTCTCCAGAATCCCATCACCAGGTCCGTTTTATTATTCTACTTTTTTTTTAAAATTAATTTAATTATTTATTTTTTTCCTCAAATCTTTTGAGTGTCATAAGTGGTTTTGCATGGCTACTATCACCAGGTACTTGCATGTTGTTTTTGATCAGTTTGTACATTCATTTGATGTAATGTAATACATAAAATTCATTTATCTTAACCTTAAACTATATCGGATTTACATAAACCGGCCGCCGGAGAACTTTAGAAACTGCAGAAAAATATCGCCAGAAAACCGGAAAATATAATAATATAATAATAATAATAATAAAGAATACAGACAAGATGGAATAATGAATGGCCGAAATAAATATTTTAAATGTGACTTGTAATTTTTTTTTTTTTAAATTTTGTGAAGAAAAAATAAAATTTTGTGAAGTGCCATCATATTATTGCGAGTGTGATGGCTAGATTACGAGAAAGAATATGAAATAATTAACCAAGAGCCATCAAAATTAATATTCAATTCGCACGTTTTTAGTGATGACAAATATATAGTACATATTAGTACTGTTGAATTTGTTGGATGGCCCTCTAACCAATATTATATATGATTGATAGTTATTCATAATATGTTGAAATTTATAAAACAATATGTAAATTCATATATTTATTTTTTTTTGGATTAATAGAATCACATATTTCCATATATTATCAATATATCCCATTACAAACACACGCGGGCATGCTTAATTATATATAATTACTTTCAAAACACGACATTTCTCACATATCCCGTAAGAAATTAAGTAACCATTATAGTGAATGACTGTAGTCATTCACTATAACTTTCGTACTTGCAAGCTTTCTAACGATGTATTTTTCATTAAGATCCAACAATCGATTTTGGTTACTAACAATAAAATTCGATACTCGACGTTTGGTTTTGTTTGGCTACTGATCTGAATCAGACCATTGGATTTCACACGATATGCATTGTTAAAATATTCATCCTGTAAGCTTTTCAACGAAACCTACCGAAAAAATTGGATATTTGATCATCGAAAAATAAAAAATTGTACTTTTTTTTTTCCGTAATCAGAAGTGTCACTTTTCATTGGTTGGATGAATCATTCATTAAAAATCGTAAATTATAGGTAATTTGTTGAACTTTATATTGGGATATATAACATAGAATATTTTTTCCAACATAAGGTTTTAACTTTTGAGAGATTCAGATTCTACTGTTCGATTATTCCGTCAAGATTTGTAATCATTAAATCACCAAATTTCGATGAAACTGTTCCATAACGGGACTAAAGCATTTTCCCATTTTAACTTTGAAATCTCTATCCTACATCGCAGTCATTGTTAATTAAATATATTATTATACTGACTTGATTGAAAAGCCACTTTTATATTGTGATAAAATATAATAATACTAATAATTAAAAACTGCCCTATAAATTGGGGTAATCAGAGAATATCAAACCGATCGAAAGGGAACTAAACGACAAAAGCGTGGCTCAGTAGTGAGTAATTACACGGCTTTCATATCTTATTAACTTCAACAAAATTCGGGTTTCAACTTTAAACCAGTGTTCTAAAAGTCGCTAGGCGCCTGTTAGGCGCTCGACCAGCGCCTAGCGTCTAGAGCGCCTAGGCGGGGCCTAGAAATCAATATTAAATACCTTATTATTTATTTATTTAACTACTAACAAAATAAAATTATCTCAAATTATAATAAATCGACACCTAATTCAAATAATAATATTAATATATTTTAAAGAAAAATATGAGAACAAAATAATGTAATTAGTATTTAAAAAAAAACTGAAAAATTGCCGCCAAGCCCGCCTAGGAGCGCCTAGGTCCGCCTACGCCCGCCTAATCGCCTGGCTGCTGAGCCCGCCTAGGCCGTCTAGGCCCGCCTAGGGCCGTCTAGGCCCGCCTAGGCACCTCCTAGCCGCCTGTCCGATTTTTTTGGCCGATTTATGCAAATCGGAGGCGCCCGGGCACCGCCTAGCGCCCAGGCGCCGCCTTTTAGAACAGTGCTTTAAACTCGAAAATTGAAATTTTAGTTAGTAAATTAGATTTTTAATTCTAATTAAACAAAAGTAATCAAATTTAAGAATGAAAATATTTTAGTCTTGGTACATAGATTAAAATCTTATTTTATATTTAGCAAAAGGTACTAATGGAGTAAAATTGTTAATCTAATGGACCCTGATTTAAACGGTTCGAAATAATAATAATAATAATAATAATAATAATAATAATAATAATAATAATAATAATCATGATTTATTCATTCTTTTCAAAACTGGATCGGACTGGATAGTCCGATCGAATGACCGGAGACCGGTTTATCGATCATTCAGGTTACTTGAATAAAACATTAGGTAGCGAACTGGTTAGCACCAGCCGGACGGTACGATCCATACGCTTTTTTAAATAAATTTTGTTATAATTAAAATTATTTTTAATATAAATAAAAGTACATATTTAAATAAAATTGAGGTTTATCAATTAGTTTAAGGATTTGAAAATTGTAGATTATTCAGGTATTCAATTAATATATTTTATATAAATTTATATTAAAAAAGTATTATTATGTATATTAGAATATTGACAAAAATAATTGAATAAGAAACTTCGATAGCGGTCCAGTTATGAGAACTTTAAATTTACCACACATTAATAAAAGTTTTAATATAATAACCATTTTGTTCACATAAATATAATGAAATGATATATAAATATTCATTAATCATTAAACATATTGTCATATAAGCATTCTTAATATGATTTTTGGAGTTTGGACTAAATTGCATTTGTAAGTATTTTTAATATTAAAATGTATATTCAGTTTTAATAATCGATTTGGTCTGGCCAAATTGACCCATAACTTTGTCACCCAGGATCAACCCAATCATGTTTTTGGACTATTTTAAATACCTCCTAGAAGTAATTCAAGCGACCGGAGAAGTAACATAATTCAGTCATCCCGATTGATAAAAGAAATTTCCTTATTTTTCTCAAATATATTTAATTTTATGATTCATGTAGTTGATGCTTATAACAAATGACAAAATGCGAAGACTATAGATTTTACGTCTAGACAAATCAACTATTTCTTTCTTATGCATATTTTAAAAAAAAAAACATAATAAGTCTTAAAATTTAAAATTAATTGAGTGATTATGAAATTGACATGATGACGCGATACCAACATGAGTTATTGTATAGCAAAGTATTTGCATACCAATTACTGTTTTATAGATGTTATTTATAAGTTATTGGATATCATAAACGCATGGTGTTATAACGAGGAAAGTGCTTTAAAAATAAATTACATTCTCATATATAATCTAAGACAAATTGTTAAAATTATTATTTAGATATATATGGTTAAAAAGTTATTTATAATTAAATTTGAGTAATATTGCAATAATCATTATAATTATTAATAAAAAATATTTCGATATGGATTTTAAAGAAAAATGTTTTCAAGACAATATGTAATACTAAAAAAAAAAGGAAAAAAAAAATGATTGCCCTTTTTAATAACTTAAGAGTTTAGTAAACAATTCTACGTACTATTTAAAAGTAAAAAAAATTATATGGAGCCATCGAATGATTTTCTTATGGAGTCATCTATTACTTAATGTTGACATCAATCAAAATGTATTTATTGTAGGACACGTATCAATACCCTATGGTAAATAAGTGTGGATGACTCCATAAGTCGAGCCATCCCATAATAAAACTGTTTAAAGTAAGTGTTAAAAACTTATATATATATATATATATATATATATATAT